TTTACCCTTACTTGAGTAACTTCGGCTACTTTTTACTTTTACTTGAGTAAAAATGTGTTAAGTAGTGCTACTACTTTTTTTTAGGTATCTCTACAACATTTTATGACTTTTCTCTCAAGGTTTCCAAGTTATTAATGTTAGAAATGGGTCAGTCACCATTTCCTGCTGTGGAATCTGTTGGCTGAGACATTTTGAGGTATTTGGCTTTTTGGTTATGAGATCCCCACATGTTGCTTTGCCCCCACACTCACTACATCACAGCAGCAGGCTGGGTCATTTTTCTTTTGAAGGCTCCTTCTTCCCCCCTCTTTTCTTCCTCGGCAGTCCATCCATCATACAGAACCTCCTCTCAGCCCCAGCAGCGCTCCCTCGTCATTTAAAAAAACGCTTTTTTTTTTTTTTTTACCAACACTGGCTTCATAGCAGGGTATTAATTCAAACTTCCTTCATTGTTTTGCTTCTTCTTCGTCTTTGCATCTGGAGTTTCCCCCAAACCTTCAGCTGGTTGAGACCTGAGGGCAGGGCTGCTGAGGATCAGGCACCGGGGTTTCTCAGTGTGTGTTTCTGACTAACACCACTGTTCAAATCAAAGTGTCTGCCTTTTGTCTCCGCGCTCTGGAATCCCCTCCGTCACACCTCGGCTGCTGCCTGAGGAAAACTTCCTCCTCCTACAGTTAATCCTCCTCCAGAACGGCCTCCCCACAGGGGGAAAGAATTCAATTAATTAAAGGATTTCAGGAGTTTTAATCTGGCAGATTAAAAGTTTGTAAAGCCACATGAGTAATCAGTTCTCTTTATACAGGTCTTGCACCAAAAGCTGGTATACTTTAGTCGTTTTGGAGGAAATGAATACAAATGTATACTTTTTTGCTAAAAAAAAAAGAGAGAAATTTTGCATATCTATGCTTTCAATGCTAACCTGTTTGCATTTTCATGTCCTATCATTTTAATTTAATGTGAAAGACCAACACAAAGTTGTACACAATTCAATCAAAACATTTTTTACAAATAAAGAACTGAACAGTGCGGTGTGCAAATGTTTTCAGCCTCCTTTTTGCAACCAGTTCCCTTGAAAGGTTTCCTGATTACCTACGTGTGTGTGATTGTCTCTCAGTGCAAAAATAGCTGCTTTGTGGTTGAAATGTGACAAAATATGGAAAAGTTAAAGGAGTGTGAATACATTTGCAAGCCACTTTATTTATACACATATAAAAGATAAAGAAAACTGGTAAATGTAAATAAATTAGCATTAAAATATAGAATTTTTTTAGCTAAAAATGTGTATATTTGTATATTTTTTTTCTATTTGCTAGATGCCAGAATAACGAGAAAGATAATTTTTAAATGCAGTTTTTATCTTCAAAGTCAACAGATTATTTTGTTTTTAAACAATTTCAGATAACATCAAACAAACCTGATTAAAATGTCTATTTTATTTAGCATAAAAAATCCTCATAAATTCACAATTTAATATGTTCTGGCTATAATAAAACATTATTGGTTAAGTGTAAATATCTGTAATGTGGTTCCCGCTCTGCGTTGCAGCGATTTAGCTTCTGCAGGTTGTTAAACCCGTAAAAAGCTGTGAACTGCAGCTCCACAAGTCCTCAATTAGGGCTTTTCCCACAGAGCCATAAAACCGTTAGTGAAATCATCCAGAGGCCGCTAGATTCAACACGATTAAGAGTTCATTAGTACCTGCAGACGCAGCTACTGCAGCAATTGGAGGATCATTACCATTAGCCGTTAAAGCCGCCAGCCACAGGCCGCTTTTCATCCACTCCACTTGTTTTCTCCACAAACAACGCAATAAAAATTTAAAGGAACGCGTCTTCCTTCAGCCTCCCAGACTCTCCAAGGTTAGAATACACTGCAGGTGTCAAATTGGCAGATAAGGCTCAACAAACAAGAGCTTAATTAGCATAATTAGCTTTAAGGCAGACAGGTGCTTAGTAATTAATCCAATTGACCGTTTCAACATTTAATTTACATTCAAAATGATTTAAAAAATATAGAAATCTGCCTGTTTTTTTTTCTCTTGATTATAAGGATTCAAAAATAACTAATCTGAATGTAATTTCAGACCAAGACCACCAGTCTTCAGTATTATGAAAACACACAATGGCAACAATATTCACAGAAATACAGGTTTTAGAAATTAAAAGCAGAAAACTAAGTGTTTTAAATTATCAAAAAGACATAAATATAATTTTATGTAGACACAACATATACTGAATAATTATTTTCTTTAAAAAGTGGGAACTAACAATCCCCATTAACAGGAAAAACCTGGGACAAGGAGGTGACAGCATCATGCTGTGGGATGTTTTTCTTCATCAGGGACAGATTATTTCCTCATAGTTAGAACTTTTTCATCCATATTAAGGAATTATTGACTTAGAAAAAGCTGCTATGTGTGGCTGAGAAGTTACTGCTTAGTTAATTTTGTCTTATTTCAAATGTATGACCTAGAAACTAGACAAAAATAGAAACGTATAAAAGATTTTGTGATTTTGAAGTGTATTCAGATGGTCAAAAATATGTTAACATTCAGTCTGACTGACATTAAACCATTAGCAATAGCAGAAAATGTAACTTTAAGTAACTAAAAGTGGTTCTACAAAATTTTACCAAGTATTTTTGTCTTGTTTCTATTGCAAATGTCTTAGTACACATAAAATAAGACAAAACTAAATCAGAAATAACTTTTCAACAAGATAAAGGAGCATGTTTTAAGTACACAATTACATAATATTGGTTTTAAAAGGTATAGTTTCACTGGCAGACTATTTCACTTGTAACTAATAATTTTCCATCAATATCAAGGATTTATTGACTTATAAAATCTCCAATATCTTCCTGAAAAGTTACTTGTAAGTTAGTTTTGTCTTATTTTGTATGTTCTAAGGTTTTTGCAATAGAAACTAGACCAAAAATACTTTGTAAGATTTCGTGTTTTTGCAGTGTATTAACAGAAAATGGAAAAAACATTGAAGTCTCTTAAATGAAAGAATAATTAACGATGATCTGGACCAAGTCATCCAAACTTATCGCACGTGATCAAAGGCCGCGAATTAGACGCAGCGCTTTCTAATTCTTTCTGTTTGCAGGAGCTCATGGGGTCAAGAGGTCAGGACCGGGTGGAGGTTTAGGCTGTGTTTGGGAAAGCGCCTCTCCGGCTCTTGTTTGCCAAACATCAAAGTCGGTGTGAAGACTGTGAGCTCGGAGGGTGGAGGGGCTCCTGGCAGGTCCGCAGGAAAGATAACAGACCCGACACGTAACCCCCCGTGTTCCTCCAAAATCCCCTGATAACCCGTCTTCCCCCCGGCCGCCAAGTCCCAGCCTCCATCACTCCAGGTTCTGCTGGACAAGCCCAGCGTCTGACCCCACTTAATCACATGCTGAACCTTTCCCTCGTGATAATCCTCCCTGCCAACTGACAGGGGGGGTCAGCTGAGTAAAGCCGGCGAGTAATTCAGGACAGAAAGTTCAACTGAAGCGCTCAGTTTTTCCCTTTGTTCACTCAAGTGGGCCGGTGATCTGTGACCACTTTCCTTTGTGTCAAATTTGGGAAAAAAAGACCTGAACCAACCTGAATGTTTTGTGTTTTTTTGGAGTTTTTTTTTTCTGTTTGTCTGCTTCCTGTCGCTCATAGACATGCGCTTCCGTCTGTTTACTTGTCTGAAATTATCTCTCTTGACAACAGAGTCACTTGACCCTGGAATCTGATCGCTATCCAGGAGGAACAACAGATTTCCTGGGAAGTGATGGAGCAAGAGCTCAACGAGACGCTGCTGCCCTCTAGCGGAACGCCAAGGTACTACAACCAAAACTAAACCGGTTTGGAGAAACGCCGTTTAAACTAATGGATCTGATTTTATATGAAGAAACTTATGGGGTGCCGTTTGTAAAGCTACACAGTAAAAAATAACAAAAAGTAAAAAAAAACAATGCATTTACCCAGTCATTAAAAACTGGGTGTTCGTTTTTCAACCATCTTATTCATGTCAATTCTAAACCAGATATTTAGTTTACAAAATAAATGTTTAGCTTTCAACTTAAATATTTTATTAGGAAGATACATATTTAATTTGTAAACGAAATAGTTGAGTCTAAGCTAGATATTTAGTTTGCAAATTAAATATTTAGCTCAGAATTAAATATTTATTTTGTTAAAATAAACTATTTAGTTGTAAATTAAATATTTATTTTCCAAACTAAACATTTTTTTAAACTAAATATTTACTTTCCAAATTAATGAGTTTGCAAGGAAGATAAATATTTAGCTCCAAATTAAAATTTTATTATGCTAAATATTTAGTCCCAGACTAAATATATATTTTCCAAATTATTTACCAAGCAAACTAAATATTTAACTTTCAAACTAAATATTTATTTTACAAATGCATTATCTAGCAAGTAAGCTAAACATTTAGATATTTAACATTTAAGTTGCTAAGTATTTAATTTGAAAATTAAACATTTAGTTTTGTAAATTAGATATTTAGTTCGGAACTCAGATATTTATACATTTATGAACAATATGATGAAAATATGACTTTAAAAAATAATTCCTGCATTTTTATCAATGACAGGCTCAATAAACCTAAGCAGAGCTGTTTATTTTTTTACTGTGTAACTGTAAACTGCTCATAAAGATGTCTCATTGTGATCAGGTTTAATTAGTAATATGAAAAAAATCAGATTACAATAAAACATTAGAATTTCACTGTGAACGTATCCTAATAGATTAAATAAAGTGTTGGGTAACCAAACAATTCAGGATTTTCAACAACGCTTCGTGCTTTACTGCAGTTCCTGTGTTTTTGTGTTGAATTTTGCCTGTGAAATCTTATCCACGGGGGTCGGTCACATCTCAGCGAAACAGTACCCCAAGGGAGGGCTGCTGGTTACAAATTTAGTGTCCAATGGAGCAGAGTGCAGCGGCTGAGTGACGTCTGCTCTGGCCACTGCTCAGGTTGTTCGTAGAGGGTCAGAGTGGAGGAGGATAATCTGGCAGAAAGTGCGCAGAGAGACAGAGTCTGTCAGCCAAGACTAAACAGAAGTTTCTTTGAGTCTTAAAGGAAGAAAAAAGAAGAAGTAGAAGACGAGAGACAATCCCTTCATCCTTCCGTCTGCAAGCATGTCTGACTGTGAGGGACCACCCGCGGGTAAGAGGAGCTGAAATGATTATTCTTCGGTGGTGAACCCATGTTTAAGAGAGACGTCTGAAGCAAACACTGGGCATGCATGTGTGTAAATTGTTTGGATTTGTGTTCCTGGATTGTGTGTGTATTTTTAGTGGAGGAGGGGACTTTGTTGGCCCATCCTGTTTTAGTCTCCACTCCACTCCGCCTCACCCAACAAGGAGTCTGTTCAGTCAAAGGCCTTATATGGAAACCTGAAGCAGCTTTCTTTGGAGAGATGCACGATGACCTCGGCTGATGAAAACTTATTAAAAATCTTTTAGGGCTTTTTTTCATGCAGAGGAACTAAGGGTGAATGTCCAGTCTGTCTGATTTTGAGCTCATTAACCGGTTTGTGTGTGGTAAAACATTAAAGCTGCAGTATGTAACTTTTATTACAATTTTTCTTTTACATATTTGCTGAAACTGTCTCTACATCCTGAAAAAATCAAGCTCCTCTGCCTTCCCTCAGTGATATCTAGAAACAACCAATCAGAGCCAAGAGGCGGGTCTTAGCGCTGTCAATCACCTCTGTGATCCTGACATATTTAATTCATTAATACTTAATAGTACACTGCAAAAAAATAAACACAAAATATTAGCAAGGATTTTTGGTCCAGTTTCCAGTGTAAATTTCTAAGTTTTGTCTTATTTCAAGTCTGATATTTATACCAGAAACTAGACCAAGGAAATACTCTGTAAGATTTTGTGTTTATGTACTTTCAGTAGATTCATGTGTTTATTTATTTGGTTAAAAACACATTAAAATGTGAGGAGGAACTTATATTTTGTTCCACATGTCACGTTGTTGCCATGGGGAAACATTAGTTGGCACACTTGGAGAGTCACACTGAAGACACTGGTTAGAAGAAGCTGGAGATAATGCAGCTAAAGAGGTATGACTTTATTATTTTTGTTCTTGATGTATTTTTAGGGGGATTATTTGTTGTCCGCATTAAATATCTGTTGAAACCCAAAAACAACAGTAAAAGAGCTCTGACATAGCTGGCCGTAGATGCTAATGCTAGTTAGCATAGCCAACAATGACGGATGATAAACGGGTTTTCTGCAATGGTAAGTTGTTTCTCCCCCATTAGTACTTTTAACAGCGAGTACATGAGGTTGATTGTCGGCGCCAATACCCGCCTCCTGGCTCTGATAGGTTGGTTTTGGTAGCTCAGGGAAGAGGAGATCAGTCTTCACAGATTATCTGTCTCACAACATGGTGACGGTTTTAACAAATACGTAAAAAACATTTTTTTTTATAAAAGTCACATACTGCAGCTTTAAGTGAGAGGTTGAGAGAGAAATAAGCCTTTCTAACGTCTGGAAGTCTCACCAACAGTAACAGTCACTTACAAACAGAAAGCTTCTTCTCCCACTGATGTCTGAGCCTTTTTCCCTTCATCTTCTACGGATGATTCCCTCTCCAGTAAATATGATCCTTTGATGTAGTTGGCCACACACAGATTCCTGTAATTGAGTCTGCTGCATGACTTGTTATCGTCTGACCGTCCCGCCTTATCGGATACTACGATTTCCTGACGCATTGGCCAGGAAATTACATCAAGGCTGATAAAATCTAAACCGCTGAAACGGCCAGACGTCTGTCCTGCTTATTGCATTCATCCGCTTGGAAGCCCTTCAGCTTTATGAAATAACTGTGATATTAGCTTCACTGCAAAAACACAAAATCTTGCCAAGTATTTTTGGTCTAGTTTCTAATGCAAATATCTTAAGACGCTTAAGAAATAAGACAAAACTAAATTATAAGTAACTTTTCAGCAAGATATAAGAGCTTGTTGCCAGACTATTTATCTTGCAACATGGGAAAATGTCTTGTTATAAATTAAATAATGTGCTGGTATTTTTTTTCATCAAAATTAAGAAATTATTGACTTAACACAGTTCATATTTCTCGCTTAAAAGTTATTTATGTGTTAGTTTTTGTCTTATTTCAAATCTTTTGGATATTTGCTGTCGAAACGAGACAGAAATGACTGAGTTAGATTTTGTGTTTTTGCAGTGTTGACTACAAATCCGTTTTTACATGTCGGTGTGTTTTATTCCATTGTCAACTAGAGGAATTTGAGGTTAGATGGCATCTGTCTTGTCAACAGTTCAAACTGCATATATATACCATGTTTACAGTTTTTATTCTCAGTCGTGTTTGACTTCGTAGCTTTGATGGATGACATGGAGAAATATGTTTAAGAACGGAGGAAAGCTGCCAAGGAGTGATGAATGTTACACACAAACTTGGGCATTATTGTCTAACACAATGACCACCCAAATTTAAGCACTGTGGATTCTAGTATTTGTTGGGTTTAGCAACTAAAAACCCCTACAAATAACTTAAATCTGGTTATAATGGCCTACTTTAATAGTTCAAACACCAAATATGCACTAAAGCTGCAGGATGTAACTTCTGTTAAAAATTACATATTTACTTAAATATGTAATTAGAAAACTACACCTTTCTTTTATTAAAGGAGACCAGTTTCTGCATCCACTATGATTTGTTATTTTGATCTATGTTTCATCAAAATATTGCAGAAAAATTCACATTAAAATAGTTTTTCATTTTTACAAGACAAACTTGTACTTTCAACGTGTCGATGTTGGCCCCTACTTCAAAAGGTTTAAACTCCAGAAGCTGGTTTTAGAGAAAAAACCAGCCAGCTGTGCTGCAGCAGGGAAATTAGCTGCAGCACAGCTAATTTCCCACAGGGGGCAGTATTGTCATGTTTTCCGTCTCCAGGCCAAAATGATTGAAGCACACAGAAACAGAAAGATGTGATGTAATGTAAGGGCAAGGAATGAAAACAGACTAGACGGACAAAACTTAAGGGTAAACGAGTGAAAGCAGCGAGAAACGAAGGAGGGTGAGGAAGTGAGAAAAGACAGCAGCCCTGCCTCATCTTGATATTATGCAAAATTCACATACTGCATGTTTTTGAACTTCCATTTGGTTCTTAATTGCTTCTAAAACCAGCATTTAAAAAACCCCACCTAGCTGTTTTATGGCTATAAGTTAATGTTTTTTGGTTTGTGGAAAATGAGCTGTTTCAAAAACCTTCTGAATGTAACATTAAAATAAGCAGGCACTTCCCCGTTACCTAGCAACCCAAATGGAGCTCCAGCACATTTGGTCAGCTGGTTTTTACCATTGCTTGCGCTGTACAATGGCCGCTGGAAAAGGAAAAAAATGTTTTGTTGTTGACTTATCATCCAGAAACCACTTGCTGCATTCTTGTTGGTTGTGCAGGAGGCTCCACTTTGTATAGTTGCACATCTGTTTGAAGTCATTTTCATGTGCGAATATAAAAGTTGAGTTTGGGGGCGTGGCCAGCAGCAGCTTATTTGGATTTAAAGTGACAAGATGCCCTGAAACAGCACAGAATAGTCAGAACTGATCAGACTAAAATCTCATTATTTAAGAATAATTTTATACAAAAATATATTTACATGTTTTGTATAGACCTTTCCTAACATGTTCAAGGAAGCTTAATAGGTCACCTTTAAGGATAAATCAATGGAAGTAGGAGTTTTTCAGACTACACGTGTTTGAAATCTGTGCTGTGTGAAAACAAACGTTTGTTCAGAAACGGAGGTGATGATGTCATCCCTAAACATGCTAACCATGTTCTTCTGGATCAGAACAGGCCCGTTGTCCTGCAGTGGGATTGAATGAGTTTATATTTCATGCAGGCCTGTGCAGAGACCACTCAAGGGGCAGGTGCTCAAAAAATAAAGGGCACATCTAACCGCATTCTAGGAAAGACTATAAACAAAGCCACACAGCTTTCAGAGCTTAATAAATAATGATAAATTACAAAATTGTGAGACATACAATGTAAGCTAAGGAAAAACTCTATATGGAGCATAACACTATGCATATGTTAGATATTTTATTAGTAATTTCTTTCTGCAGGTCTATTTTGTTATAGGAAAGTATTACAATATTCAAACCCGCAATTTAGCAAGAAATGTAAATCAGAGCTAGACCACCAGACATATTTTGTCTTTACAGAATTACACTATTAAAAATATAAACAAGGGCACAAAGCAACCTTTTGGTGTACTGTAATCTATATAAAAAAAGAGCTGCATGTTTGCTGCAGTGGATATGAAGATGGTCCATTCAGGAAAGCAGAGCTGCATCAAACTTTAATGTGGAACTGCAGAAAAAAGAAAAAAACAAAAGCAAAAATGTTATTGTTAATGCATGTCACCATGAGAAAAGCCTACTGAGTTTTGCTTAAAAAAACTTTTTTTAAAATTAAAATCACACATTTTTGTCTCATGAAGTGAAAAAATTATTTGCAAAACAAACTTATTTGCGCATGTCAGAAATCTTTTCTTGCTATTCTAAGTTTTTGTTTGTGACTCAAAGTTTTGCTGGTGATTCTCACATGACGTCGTGGGCGGGGCCTAAAATCACAACAAAAGATTTATGATGTGTGCAAATAAAAGTTTATGTTTGGCAAATAACTTTTTAAGTTCACAAGACAAAAATGAGTTATTTAATCTAGAAAAAAGTTATTTAAACAAAACATTTTGCTTTTAAAAAGAAATCATTACAATTCCAAAAGTTTTGATTACAATTTTATTTTACTTAACTGAGGTTAGTTTTTTTTTTTTTTTTTTTTTTTTTTTTTTTTTTTTTTTTTTTTTTTTTTTGTTAACGACATAAAAAAAACGGGAAAAAATTTTTTTTTGCTGAT